ATATCCAAAACTTGTTATTTGAGACTGTTGCTTGCCTCACCGTTCACGGTCATTTTGGAAGAAGGTGAGTCCGTCAGGCAGGGTGGAGAGTGAGGGCAGGAGACAATGGGACAGGATGGGACAAAATGGGACAGCCATGGGACAGAATTTTCCCATCAAGAGGACCTCGGAGCCGGATGCGATGGCCCTGCCCGCCCCAATCAGTGACCTCAGTTGGGTGGGGCCCCTTCGGCAGCGGTCAGTTATCAGCGGCAATCACCACCGGCGCCACGGCCACCCGGCCTGAGTCCGCGCCCTCCAACGTGTAGACCCCTCGGCCCAGAGGCAGCGTGCCGGTGGCGTCGAAGGCCTCAGCCTCGTTGGCCGATAATTCTTCGCTGAGCAGAGAACCCTCAATAACGACAGCAACAATCGCTGTATGGGCGACGGCGATCACGGCCCCCGATGGCATTGCCCCGCCGGTCTGGCCCTGTCCCGGTTGATCCGCGCCTCCGCCAAGGCGTTCATGATGCTGGTCAGAACGACTATCCCCTGCATCAGTTCCAGTGTCCGCACCGTTTCCGGGTCGTCCGAGCCTGCCTCGATGGTGGCGAAAACGGGCTGAATATACCTGTCCCGGCGAGTGAGTCTTTCCTTGGAGGCGGTGTTCCGACTGGCCTCAATTATCGCGTGGATGGTGTTGTCGAGCCTTTCCGAGCCGGCGCCCTGGCGTGAACCAACCCCTACTCGAACTCTGCCAGCAGCGCCTTGAGGTCTTCAGTGTCTATGGTGGCGTCCGAGCCGGCGGGTCCGGCGGGGCCGACAGATACTGCCTGACCGGGCTCACCACCGGGGCCAGCCGGTCCAGCGTCCCCGGCAGGCGTCGACTGGTAGCAAAAGCGCGAATATCGCAACAACGAAAACTGGTGCACGCATTGGCGTGCCCTCGGCATTTCTTGCTGTCGCAGTTAGTCTCGCCTGCTGAACGGGGCGAGTGCAATCGCTGGCACAGGGATGTAGTATATCGGGAAATCCGGAATTTTTGAGGGAACACCGGCAAGACAGTTACTGAGTTTTGCCAGTGCAGGGAGTGAATCATGGCGTTCTACGAAGGATTTGAAACGCTGCAGATCGACACCAGCGGCGGCGCAACCATCAACCTGGTCAAGGGCGGGGACGGCCCGCCGCTGCTGCTGCTCCACGGCTATCCGCAGTCCCACATGATGTGGCACAAGATCGCCCCCAGGCTGGCCGAGGACTTCACCGTGGTGGTGCCGGACCTGCGCGGCTACGGCGACAGCAGCAAGGTTCACGGCGACCCCGAGCACCTCAACTACTCCAAGCGGGCCATGGCCCAGGACCAGGTGGACGTCATGGCGCACCTGGGCTTCGACAGGTTCAAGCTGGTGGGACACGACCGCGGCGCCCGGGTCTCGCACCGGCTGACCAAGGACCACCAGGAGCGGGTGGAACGCCTGATGGTGCTGGACATCATCCCCACGCGCAGGATGTTCCAGATCGTGAACAAGGAGATGGCGACCAACACCTACCACTGGTTCTTCCTGATCCAGCCCTACGACTTCCCGGAGCGGGTCATCGGCGCCGACCCGGACTACTTCCTGCGCCGCTCCTTCCGCCGTAACCCCGACGCTGAGGGCGCCTTCCCGCCCGAGGTGGTGGACGAGTACGCCCGGTGCTTCAGCGACCCGGGCACCATCCACGCCACCTGCGAGGACTACCGGGCCGGCGCCAGCATCGACCTGGTGCACGACGATGCCGATTTCGATAACAAGATCACATGCCCGATGTTCGCCCTCTGGAGCTCCACGGGCTACGTGGGACGGACGCAGGACGTGCTGGCTGTCTGGAACGAGTACGCCACCAACGTGCGCGGCCAGTCCCTCCCCTGCGGCCACTACATCCCCGAGGAAATGCCCGACGAGAGCTACGGCATCATCAAGTCCTTCCTGCAGGAGTAGGGAAATCCGCGGAGAACACAGAGGCGTGGGAAAAGAGTCGAATGAACCTCTGTGTTCTCCGCACTCTCTGCGGTGAGTGAGATGCTGGAACGGACGCCGCCTCGAGGCTGGGCAGTTATCCTGCTGTTTCGCGCCCAGCAGAGCAGCGTCATCCTGGTCTCCTACACCTTCGGGCTGTTCCTGCCGTTCATCCGGGAGGATCTGGGCATTACCGCGCTGCAAGCAGGGCTGCTGCAGGCGGTCTGGTGGATAACGGCTGCCGGACTGTCGCTGCCGTTCGGGGCATGGTTCTCCCGCTTCCGGCCTGTGCCGTTGGCGCTGGTCTCGCTGCTGCTGGGAGCGCCGTTCCTGTTCGTGCAGGCGCTGGCCCCCGGGTTCTGGGTGCTGCTGCTGGGGCGGTTCTGCTTCATTCTCTCCCACACAGTGAACACGCCCGCCCGCGCCCTGCTGCTTCGGCAGTGGTGCGCCCCGCACCAGTACGCCCTGATCCAGTCTTTCGGACTGTCGCAGCACAGCGTGATCCTGGCCCTCGCCGTCAGCCTCAGCCCGCTGCTGATCGAGGGTTTGGAAAGCTGGCGCATTGCCTATGCGGTCCTGGGTGGATTCTTTTGTGCGCAGATCCTGGCGTGGCAGCTTGTGGCCCGTGAGGAGCACGCCCCGCCGGAGCCGCCATCGCAGACCGAGGACGATGAGGGGCAGTCGCCCTGGCTGGCCCTGCGGCGCTATCCGCAGGGCTGGCTGATTGCCGTGGTGATGCTGTTCCTGGCGTCCACTGGACCGGGATGGTCACCTTCCTGCCGACGCTGTGGGTGGAGGAGCGCAACGTGGCCCTGACCCTGGGCGGCCCGTTGCTGGGGTTCCTGTACTACGCCCTGATACCGTCCGGGTTCCTGGGCGGCTGGCTGCTGACCAAGATGCACAGCCGAAAGGTGCTCCTAGTGGTGCCGGCACTGCTGAATGCTGTGTTCGGAGTGGTCATAACCATCTCTGAGGCGCCGCCAATGCTGATGGTGTTCATCACCGGACTGGGCTTGGTCTGGGTGGCGACGCCTGCGATACAGGTGCTGCCCTTCGAGTTCCCCGGAGTCCTGCCCCGGGAGGTGGCCGTGCTGACCGGCCTGATCCTGACCTTCATGGGCGTCGGGTTCGCCATGGGGCCAATGCTGGTGGGCGTTGTCGCAGAACTGACTGGCTCGATCCAGACGGGCCTCATCGCGCTATCCCTGCTGACCGGCCTGGGCGTCATCGCCGGCCTCGCCTACCCCGACAGGCCTGGAACGATGCTGGGCGGGAGGACGGCGGCGCAGCTGACCAGCACCGACTCCTAGACGAACCGCTGCTTGGCCCAGCCCTCCTCGTAGGTGGTGCTGAAGATCGGAGCCGACTTCTTGCTCTTGAACATCCACTTGCCTTCGACGCGGACGTATTCCTCGTCGTCGATTCCTGCCCTCCACATGGCTTGGCCAGTCTCGCCGATGGTGCAGGGCATGAACAGGTACCACCGGGCGCGAGCGGTGTCGCCGGAAACCTCGATGCTGGGGTTCAGGCCGTAGTGCAGGGCGAAGACGAAATGGCTTGAGATGCCACGAAAGAACTCACGGATGGCCTCCCGACCCTCGAACCGGCCCAGGCCCTGGCTCTCCCACGTAGCGTCCTCGATGAACAGGGCCGCGATGCGGTCCGGATCGTAGTTGTCGTCGCAGGCCGCGGCGTACTCGGCCTTCAGATTGCGGATCTCGTTGGCGTCCTCCAGTGCCTGCACCCTGTTCTGAAGTTCCCCGACCATTTCGGCCAGTTTGCCTGATGCGTCAGTTGACATGCTTTACCCTCGCTAGTTTTCGTAACGATGCTGATTATATTGGACCGTAAGCGGAGTCCGACTCTAATTGTTTGTTGATTTGAGTAAAACTATTTGACAGAGTTTCATTGCTATCGTAGAGTCCAAGACGACTCACTCTGGAATTCGGACTGAATAGGAGAGATGAGCGATGGCATTCGATTTGTTGATCAAGAACGGCCGGGTGGTCGATGGTTCAGGTGGGCCGGAGTTTCGCGCAGACGTTGCGGTGAGCAAAGGCAAGATTGTCGGGGTGGGCCGGTTCAACGACTCCGCCACCCGCGTTATCGATGCCGAGGGCCGCGTGGTCGCGCCCGGCTTCATTGACCACCACACCCACTTCGACTCCCAGTGCATGTGGGACCCCATCGTCAACTCCACATCCCTGAACGGCAACACCTCCATCATCGTCGGCCAGTGCGGCGCAGTAATCGCGCCGGTCCGTCCCGGAGACGGCGAGTGGTATCTGGATATGTTCGACAAGATGGAAGGAATCCCTCTGAGTGCCCAGCGGGCAGGCGTTGACTTCTCCTGGGAGTCCATCCCGGAGTACCTGGACGCCATCGGTCGCCGCCGGGGCATCAACGTCGGCGCTTTCGTGGGACACTCCGGCGTGCGTCGTTACGTGATGGGCCAGGCCGCCCAGGAGCGGGAGGCCACCCCCGAAGAAATCGAGGCAATGAAGGCGGAGGTCCGCAAGGGCATACTTGCCGGGGCCCTGGGGTTCAGCGTCGGCAACTTCGCCGACCAGGGCGAGGAGATTTTCGGTGTCCGGGTGCCGTCATCGGTGGCCTCAGACGCTGAGCGTTTCGCGGTGGGCGATGTCCTCGGCGAGTTGGGCACTGGCGTTTTCCAGGTCAGCGGTGGTGCCGCGGGCGGATACACAACGCCTGCCGGTATAGCCCAAGAACTGTCCCGCCGCACGGGACGCCCCGCCATCTACAATCTGCTGGCCCAGGAACTGAGCAAGCCCGACGAATGGAAAGGAGCACCTCCAGATGGTGGAGGATGCCTTCCGGTCCGGCACCAGGGCCTATGCCTCCTGCCTGTCCGCCACGGCGGGTCCGATCTTCGACCTCCGCGCCGGCTTGGGCGGGCTGGAAGACGAGGACATGATCAGCCCCACCACCGTATTCCAGGGCATGACAACGTGGGACTCGGTGATGGCCCTGCCGGTGGAGGAGCGGATCCGCTCCTTCCGCGACCCGGAGATTCGCCGCGCCCTGAGCATCGAGGGCGTGGAGACCGAGGGCGAGCACCGGTACCGCATGAACCGGGGCACCCGCACCATGAGCTTCAACCGCCGCTGGACCTGGTGCAGGTCTACATGGCCCACGAGGAGCGCAACCGCCGGTACAGTGGGATGAGTGTCGAGGAAGTGGCCACCGAGCAGGGGAAGGGAATCATGGACGCCTTCCTCGACCTGGTCCTCGACGACGACCTCCGCACCAGCTTCCAGGTTATCGACCGGAACAGCGACCCCACGTCGCAGCGGGAGATTCTGGGTTCGCCCTACACCGTCATCGGCACCACTGACGGCGGCGCCCGCCCCGACAAGGGCGACCGCACCACCTACAGCACCTATCTCCTGAGCCATTGGGTGCGGGAAGAGCAGGTGCTGACCCTGGAGGACGCGGTTTACCGGATGACCGGCAAGACGGCGCTGATGCACGACCTCCACGACCGCGGCTTCATCCAGGCAGGCAAGGCCGCCGACATCACCATCTTCGACCCCGATACCATCGGCATGAAGCCCCGGGAGCCGATGTACGAGTTCCCTGGCGGCGAGATGCACGTGAAGCAGCCCGCCAGCGGTATCGACTACGTGATCGTCAACGGCGAGGTGCTGCTGGAGAATGGCGAGCACACCGGAGCGCTGCCAGGGCAGGTACTTCGCGGCCCCTACCACCAGGGATAGCGGACGTTTCGACGGCTCATCAGGGGACCGAATGCCCCGGCCATCAAAGGCCGGGGCATTCTTGTCGACTCATTATGCGGCCAAGAGTCTACTCAGGGTCGCGCAGGTGGGGGAACATGGCCAGCGGCGTGGCGGCCAGTAGACCCGCGTCCACCGGCAGCGTCACGCCGGAGACCCAGCGGGCCTCGTCGGAGGCCAGGAACAGTGCGGCGTAGGCTACGTCCCACGGCGTGCCTTCGATTCCCAACGGTCCGGCCCGGCGGCGCAGTTCCAGCATCTCCTGCGAGGAGTGGCGTGCCACCATGGGACTATGCACATGACCAGGGGCGATGCAGTTGACCCGCACGTTGTCTCGCCCGTAATGCACCGCCATGGAGTTGCTGAGGCCGAGGATGCCTCCCCCTTGGACGCGGCATAGGGATGGCTGGGGCGACCACCGCCGGCGCGCAAGCCCACGATGGATGACAGGTTCACGATGGAGCCGCCGCCCGACTCAATCATTTGCGGGATGGAGTACCGGCTGCAAAGCATGACGCTCTTGAGATTGACATCCATCACCGTGTCCCAGAAATCAACGTCCAGGTCGGTCACGGAGCCAGGGCCACTGATGCCGACGTTGTTGATCAGGACGTTGATGTTGCCATACCTGGATTTTGCGCTCTCGGCCATCTCGCGCATGTCATCGTCGCTGGTAACGTCGCCAGCAAAGATGGACGCCTCTCCACCTTCCTCGCGGATCATTGCCAGGGTGGTCTCTGCGTTCCTTTCCTCTCGATCTACCAATAGTACCTTGGCGCCCTGTCGGGCGAACAATATGGATATGGCCTGACCAATTCCGACGAAGTCTCCGCTGCCGGTGGCGCCGGCTCCGGTTACTATCGCAACCTTGTTGATCAAACGGTTTCCGCGTTCCGTAGTCATGGTCGCTCCTCGCCAATGGAGAGCGGCTGGTCAAACGCCCAGCCGCAATCACGCAATTTTGTTCCCGGAGAGATGATCTCCTGCCCGTGGGCTATTGCGGGCTGCAGGTCAATCCAGAGTGCCTTGCTGCAGCAGCCTGGCAACCCCGGGAGCCATCTCCCTGGCCCGCTCTTCAAGTCCTTCGGCCCCCACGTTGGTTATCGGGTGCGGGCAGGCGAGGTAAGGGAAGCCCGGCACGCCCATCAGGCGTGTGTAGGCCTTGGCCGTGGTCTCGAATACGTGGGTGATGATGGTGGCGGTCGGGAAGCCCATCCGCTCCAGGGATATTCCGTCGTGCAAACTGCCCGACGAGCAACCCCCTCAATCGCCAATGCCGGTGATGATCAGGGTCGGCGTGGCGGTGCAGCTCCTCTATGATCTCCGGCTTAGGTGGGAGAGACGAGCTGTGCTTCTTGAAGTAGTTGATCTCGGCGAATTCGAACTCGTCATTCAGGATGTCGCTGATGGCGCGCAGAATGATGTCCGAGTTGGCCTTGGAGTTGTCCAGGAGCGCCAGTCTCTTGCCGCGAATGTCGGCGGGCCGGGCAGCGAGCGTGAGCGGATTGGGGCCGGGGTCGGCTCCTGTGGGGTCCACCAACTGCAGTTTGTGCACCGTTGCCGTAGTCACTTCCTCATCTCCTTGCGAGTGTCCGAGACCCTTTTGGGAATGCCCCTGGGGCGAAGCTAGTGTCCCTCTGCCCGGAAATCCTCCCAGGAGTCGCGTATGGGCACCGTGATGGCCGGAAGGCCGTGGTAATTCATCAGCAGCTCGCTGTAAATGCCGCTGTCGCCGCCGCCCTTCAGTATGAGGATTCCCTCCGGCGAGGGCGCAGCGGGCACCCGCATGTCCTCGTCTCCGTCCTGGATGGCGCCGTTGACGGCACCCAGCCGCTTCAGCTGCGCCCTGGTGCGCCAGGCGTTTTCGTAGACGTATTCCTGAATCTGGCGGCGGCTCCAGCCTTGGCGGCCGAGCATTTCGGCGTGCCAGTGGCCGACCACCCAGAACCAGGGGGCGTCGTTGAGGTAAATTCCCAGCCCGTGGCTGGCCATGGCATCGGCGGTGGCGTCCATCAGGCTCTCCGCAGTGACGCCGTAACGGTTGCCCAGCATCTCCGGGTCCTGAATCGTGGCCACCGTGACCGTTGACTGTTTGGCGTCGAAGCCGCGGGAGACGTGGAACGGCTCCCAGGGGCTGTTCTCTTCGTCCTCACCAATGCAAACGCCGAACTTCGTCAGCGAACCCATGCAGCCCCGGTCGAGCACGTTGGGGCGCTGCTCGAACACGTTGATCAGGATCAGCCGGATGGCGCGTCCGATGGTGGCGTTGGCCCGGTGTCCGGGGCTGAACAGATTGCCGGTGCAGTTGAGGCCGATTTCCTCGCGGATGGGGCCGTTGACCACGATAAGTATCCCGGGCGAGTTGGTGGCGGCCGAGGCCTCGTGGATGCAGTTGGGGTCGTGCTGGAACATGGCGTCCATGGTCGCCAGCACAACCGGGAAGTACTCGGGCAGGCAGCCTGCCATCACAGCGTTGGCGGCGGCCTGCTCAGCGGTCAGCGCCCGGCGGCGCACCGGCACCTCGCCAAGCACCTGCTCCGCGTCCAGCCCGACAGCCTTGAGCATGGCGTCGACCCGTTCCAGGGTCGGAGGCACCACCGGCAGCCCGTCGGTCCAGCCGTGCCGGTAGCACTCCTCGATGGCGTCGAGGGTCTCGTCTACCTCGTATAGTCGCGCCCGGGGACTATGCAGCATCAGACACCAGCACAGCCTAAGAGTCCAAGCAAAATGTGAGGCGGATTGTAGCACGGGAACATAATGCGATAAATACGGCTGGCCAGCGCATTTGGCGGGACGGATTCCGTGGCAATACAGGAAATGCAGCACGGCTGTCCAAAGGGGGCGGACCTACAATGAGGAATAAGGTGTTCCCGTGGGAAATTGGGACAGGAATTTCCCACTGCTGTCCCATTTTGTCCCAAAATCCCGTTGCGTCCTATCTGGAAATCCGCAAAATCCACGAAAAATCGCGATTCCCGTCCCATATTGTCCCATTCTGTCCCACCCGGTATTTCCGGTCTATTGGCAGACGACCCCAACAGACCTTCGGGAAGCAGAAACCATGCGGAGGCAGAGGGCAACGACAGGCATACTAAAAAAACTACCTCAAGACAATCGTGCTCGATTTCCGCTGCACAATAGGGGGCATGAGCCACCCGATTCCCGCTCTCGCGCGAATACCTATGGGGCGCGGGAATGACGATTATGGGCTCCCGCGAGGTTTGGGTAGTTTCCAAGATACAGAGGCGTCACAAGGCTTGGCAAGCGGCAAATATCATCAAAATGCGAATATTGCCTGGCCCGGGCTGCTAGATCGGCCCGACTCGCTCAGCTGCGTCGCGGGCCGCCAACAGGTAGACGGGGTTGGGATTCAGTGCGTACTCGCGCAGGCAGGCCTCGGTGAACTTTATCGAATGAGCGCCACCGGCGACCACCGCCCGGTCGATGAGTTCATCGCGGTCTTCCGGTGGGGCCGCCAATCCCGCGTTGTCCTGAGCCGGCACGGTGGAGTACCACGCGTAGACTGCGGCGCAGGTCTGCCAGGCGTAACTAGCCGCCAATCGGGCGTCGCTTTCGTCGAGATAGGGCACCAGCATCCGCAGCGCGCTGGGGGCTGTCACTGTGTGGACGAATGCGATCAGGTTCTTGGTGCTGGCCAGGTAGATTCCCGCAAAAGTTTCGGTGAGGTCTGAGATGAAGAGCGAAACATCTCCGCTGGGGTCCGCCAGGTCGATGACCGGTTCGAATTCCGGATGTTCCTCCATCCCCTTGATCTGCTCCGTGATCGGACCCGATCCGTCGAACTCCGGGCCGTGCAGGCGCTCCACCTGCCCAAGGGCGGCCCTGGGGGTGTAGCCAGCAGTGGATGCCAACGGTGCTCCCGGCAGGGTGTAGTACCTCGCGGCCCAGTAGCCCAGTCCCTGCGCCAGTTCTGCCTTTCGCTGCGGCGTTTCCCCGGCGGAGAGGTTGCGGGCGGCATGGGCCGTGCGGATGAGGCCGTGCGTGGCCACCGCCATCACGGCGGGAGCCAGCCGCGGAACCCACAGACGCACCACGTCCTGCCACGCCGCATCCGACAGCTCATTTTCGAAGAACTGTATCCAGTCCCCCAGCCTCTCCCGCACGCCGAGGTACTCTTGCCATTCTGCGGGCGGGATGGCAAGGGATGGCGACGGGCGATATATCAGGCGGCCCCTGTACCCGTCGATCCACGGCGCCACCTCTTCATCACGACCCAGAGCGAACAAGGCCTCGGCCGCCATGGGTCCGTGGTTGGCGTTGCCATTCACAAGTTCTGCGCCGGCGAAGCTCAGTTCGTCCAGCATCTCGTCAATCGTAATTGCCATACGAGTCCTCTTGTTCCTGTTGACCGGCCCCAAAAGGCCGATGCCAAGGGAATCGCGCCTAGGTCGCGGAGGACAGCCGGGCGGCAATTTCGTCGCCTGCCAGCTTGGTGCGCTGGGCTTCGATGTCCATGCCGTAAAGGCGTGCTGCGTTCTCGCCCATGATCTTCCGCCTGATTGCAGGGGTCAGATCCATCCCGAATTCCTCGCTAATGTCATCCGGGAACTGGAAGGACATGAACTTGTCGATGATCCACTTGGGGCTCCAGATGGCGTAGTCGCTGCCGAACAGGATTCGGTCCTCGCCCAGCCAGAAGAGCAGGTTCGCCATGATCTCGGCGAAGTACCTGGGCCTCGAGTTGATGAACGCCATTGCCACCGACGTGCCGGCGTATACGTTCGGCTCCTGGGTGGCGATCCAGCAGAAGTCGTCGAGACGGGGCAGCCCCACGTGTTCAACGATGAAGTTCAGTCCGGGGAAATCGGTGGCGGCGTAGTCAACGTCGTTGACGTCGAATGCGTCGCGGCTCAGCGGATAGATAGTTGGGCCCTTGTGCACGTGCACGTTCTTGATGCCCAGTTCCTGCGCCAGCTCGAGGTACCGGTACGACCACGGGTCGTTCAGCTTCCAGCCCTTGGAGTCGCCGCGCCATTCGGCGGTATAGAGCTTCAGGCCGCTGATGGGATACCCGGCCATCATCTCGCGGAACCTGTCCAGCCCTGCCTCTTCATCGCGCGGGTCATACGAGCCGCACAGCATGAACCGGTCGGGGTGTTTCTGCTTGACCACGTTGTTCTTCTGGTGGGTGTTGAAGCCGGTCTTGAAGAACTCGTACAGGTAGGTGGAATTCAGGATTGCCACGTCCACGTAGCCATCGATGAACATGTCGTTGACCAGGGCTTCCTCGCCGTAGTTGCAGTACTTGTCGAAGTCCCACACGTAGTCGGCTGGTGACAGGGCCGAGTGATAGTCGTAGAAGCACTTGATCCAGGCATTCCCGTAGTCGTTCTTGTGGTTATCCGGCCCAGCGTCCCAGAAGTGCATATGGCCGTCCACCACGAAAATGTCCTCGCCGTTCACTGAGTACATCGCGTTTCTCCTCCTTGCCGCGATTCCCCGGGTCGGGCTGTTACGTAGAAGTCCAGTTCGAGTTGCGGGCTTCCAGCATCGCAGAGCAGAGCGAACCGCTGGCCTCCATGGCCAGCCGGGTGGTCCGCGCCCGAACGTAATAGGTCTCCAGGTCCTGTGACGGGATTGCCTCGCCCTTTACGTTGACGACGAGCGCCACGGTCTCCGAGCAGTCCAGACCCAGTTCCTCGCGCCGCTCAAGGTACCGGTCGATCAGACGCTCATTAACCGGGAGTGATTCCGCGTCGCCCACCCGCAGCGCGGCAATCTCGCCGAAGGACAGCCCGGCGCGCCTCAGGGCCTGCAGCAGCCGTTGCTGACGACCGAAATATCCCTTCCGCAGAAAGATTTGCCGCGTCTCCTCCAGGGTGTCGGGGCCGCCTTCGGGGAAAGCCTCTCCGAAGGTCTTGCCGGAGCCCGTGCCCTCCTGCACCTCGCTGCCGACGAAGTGATCGCCCAGCCTGACCGCAACCGATTGCACCCCTGCCACACTGGCCAGTTCGCGGCGGACATCGGATGCCATCAGGTAGGAGAAGTTGGCGGCGCACCAGTAGGTGGGCAACCTCAGGCACACCTCCACGTTGCCGTCGTCGTCCCCTTCTACGCTCTCCACGAACCCCAGCGACAGGACCGACTCGTCCAGCTCCGGATCGAGCACGCGGTCGAGACGGCCCAGGCACTTCGTCGCGGTCCAGATGTGCGGGCAGGCGAACGTCCGGAGTCTGCGTCATGGCGCGGTCAACCCCCCATAGGTTTCGGGGCGGCGGTCACGGTAGAACTGCCAAGTGTTTCTGACTTCGGAGATTTCGTCCAGATCAAGGTCGCCGACCACCACCTCGTCGCGGTCCCGCGAACCCTGTACCACGATCTGTCCCTTGGGGTTGCAGAAGTAGCTGCTGCCGTAGAACTCGCCTATCTCCCACGGCTGCTCCACGCCCACCCGGTTGATGGCACCAAGGAAGTAGCCGTTGGCTGCGGCGTGGGCCGGCTGTTCCAGCCCCCACAGGTACTCCGACAGCCCGGCGACGGTGGCCGACGGGTTGAACACGATCTCTGCTCCGCCCAGGCCCAGGGCCGCGCGCCTTCGGGGAAGTGGCGGTCGTAGCAGATGTAGACGCCGACCTTGCCGCGGGTGGTGTCGAATACCGGATACCCCAGGTTGCCGGGGCGGAAGTAGAATTTCTCCCAGAAACCCGGAGCGACGTGGGGGAGGTGGTTCTTGCGGTACTTTCCCAGGTACGTCCCGTCCGAGTCGATGACTGCTGCCGTGTTGTAGAACAAGCCAGTTATTTCTTCTTCGAACACCGGCACCACCGTGACCATCCCGTGTTTCCGCGCCAGGTCCTGCATCAGCCGCACCGTCGGGCCGTCCGGCACTGGCTCGGCCAACTGACGCCATCGGTCGTTTTGCTCGGCGGGGAAGTAGGGGCTGGTGAACAGTTCCTGCAGGCACAGGACTTCCACGCCTTTGTTGGCGGCCTCCTCGATAAGCGCGACATGCTTCTCCAGCATGCGCTGCCGCAGGGCCTGGATGTCATCGGGCGCGTCCCGCCCGATACCTGCCTGGATCAGTCCGGCCCGCACTACCCTTGGCATCGTGCGCCTCCCCTACGCACCCGTGAATTCCTTGATGGCGACAAAATAATCGTTTATGCCGACATATAGCAGGTCGTTGTGTCCTGCTCCGGGAATGGTCAGGATGCGCTTATCTGCAGACTGGAAGGTATGGTGCATCTCGATCGCCTGCTGCACCGGGGCAAGTTCGTCCAGTTCGCCGTGAATGACCAGCGACGGGATGCTGATGGACGTGACCTTGGCCAGGTATGCGGCCTCCAACTCCTGGCCCTGCTGTGGTGGAAGGCCATATACGAAGTTACCGAGGATTGGGCGTCCGCTCTCTATGATCACGCCCGCCAGTCGATCACCCCGATTGGCGGCCAGTTCGAACGCCGAGTGTCGCCCCATAGAGCGGCCCATGATGAACAGGTCGCCGCTGAAACCACCGTCAGACAGCATCCCCGCGACGTAATCCAGCACGAGGTGGGAGTCGGCCAGCATCCTGGTAAACGACGGCCAACCGTCGCTACGGCCGTAGCCCCGGTAGTCGGTAACGAAGAAGTTGACGCCCACCTGGTTGTAAAGCGGCGCTATGTTGTTGTAGTCGTTGGCCGTCTCACCATTGCCGTAGAAGAAGAGTATGTTCGGCGCGGATTCTGTCGCCGGAAAGAAGCGAGATGAGAGTGAGGTTTCGTCATCCACCTTGACAGTGTGATCGCTCGCCCCAGGAGGTGCCTGCGACCAGTTCTTCCGGGGGTAAAAGGCATTCATTGAGATGCTGACTTCGTCCAGCGCAGAGTAGTCGACCGTCGTCATGTCCGCTCCCAGGTGATGACTTGCTCACTCCAGCCCGCTCCCGGCAGGAGAGGGATTCTTGGGTGTCCTATTGATCGAAAAATCCCGACTGGATGTGCTGGCGGATGGTTTCTGCCACCAACTCGGGCCGCTGCACGGGAACATCGTGGATGCTGTCCTCCAGCCATACTGCCTTGCTGTTGGGCAGCAGGCTCTCTGCCGCCGCGATGGACTCCGAACGTGCCAGGGTGCGCTCGTATGCGTCCGGGTTTTCTCGCTGGCGGGCGGGCATCATCAGCACCGGGCAGGCCACGCGCTGGTATAGATCTCGGGGGTGGTGGTCCCACAGCGCTTCGATGATGCGCAGATGGTTGTCCCGGGAGAGCTTGGCCCGCAGCGTGCCGTCGTCCAGCGTCTCGAAGTTGGCCAGAATGATTTCTTCGGCAGGCTGGCCATGCTGGCCTATCAGCGTGCCCCACTGGCCGCCGGAGCGCACGCGCTCGAGGAACTGGGCAGGGGTGACGCCCCGGAAGTCTGGCGGTGCCATCTGGACGAGGGCATCGTCCAGCGTGTCGTAGCGGGCCGAGGCATCGATGGTTCCGCCGTCGACGAACACGATGCCCTGCAATAGTCCGGGGTGGGCCACGGCCAGCTCCAGGGCCACGTCGGCGCCCCAGGAGTGGCCCACCAGCACTGGGCGCTCAATGCCGCGGCCCTCCAGCATCGCAGCAACATCATTTCCCACACTGGCGAAGTCGTAGCCGCTCTCCGACTTGCCGCTGTCCCCGTGGCCCCGCTGGTCCACGGCGATCACCGAAAAGTCCCGCGCCAGGACCGGCGCCGTCAGGTCCCAGATGCGACAGGTGGAGGCCAACCCGTGCAGCAGGACCACCGGGCGGCCCTCACCACCCCAGTTCCGCACGTGCATGCGCAGGCCGCCGTAGCGGGTGAACTCGTCCTTGGGAAAGCCTTGCATCGCGATGGCCCCTATCCCGAGATTGGCGCGTTGGCCTAATATATGTTGTGGCACTCGCGGGCGCAATGGTGAAAGCCATTGTTGATGCTGCCCGGACACCTGCAGGCATCGGGGTTCGTCAAAGAGTGGGGGTTCGATCTTGGCACAAATTCGAGTGGCGGCGCTGAAACTGGCGATTCTCTTTGCGGGCCTGGTTGTGGCTCTGACGGCTGCCTGCACCGGAGATCAGCCGACCCATCTCCCTTCCACCGCCACTCCGGATGGCACGGCCGTGGGCATGCCGTCCCCAACACCCTCGCTTGTGCCAGCGGAAACGCCCACCGGGACGCCCGCGATGGCCCCTTCGCCCGAACCCGCAGCTATCCCAACCACCGCGGCCCCCACGGAAACCGCCGCGCCGGAGCCCACCGCCGCTCACGCTTACGTCGCCCAGGTCGTGGGCGATTGGGCGGGCAACACTTTGGTCGCCCAATCTCAACTCGAGTTATCAGTGTCCCTCGCGGTGTCCGGTGGCGTGCTACACGGGACGATAGACATCCCTTCCCAGGGTGCGTTTGGTCTGGAGCTCGCGGGTGTAGCCTACGAAGAAGGTCGGCTGCACTTTGAGCTGGATTCTCCCATCGGAATTGCGGTATGGGATGGAGAGGTGCGGGAGGACGCAATCGAAGGGGAGTTCACGCAGGCCGGGCTCCAGGGGACCTTCCGCCTCAAGCGCGCCGAGGGCCCGACCGCATCTGGTCCGGGACCAGGACAGGAATCAGCTGCCTACCTCCGCGAGGAGGTGTCGTTCTCAAACGGAGAAATCGTTCTTGCCGGTGACCTGACTTTCCCCGACTCCGCAGCTCCGCATCCCGCCGTCGTGCTCATCAGCGGCAGCGGCGGACAGGACCGGGACACCAGCTTTTACGGTTTCAAAGTATTCGAGGTTCTGGCCAACCTGATTGCCGCCCAGGGAATCGCCGTCCTGCGATTCGACGACCGGGGCATCGGCGGCTCCACTGGCGAATGGCCGCAGGCCACCCTCCACGACCGCGCCAGCGACGTAGCCGCGGCCGTGGCGTGGCTCGAGGCCCGCGAGGATTTAGACCGCAACAGCATCGGTCTCGTCGGCCACAGCGAGGGCGGACTCGTCGCGGGAATCGTGGCCAATCAGGTGGATGGCATTGCCTACCTGGGGCTCCTCGCATCTCCTGCCGTCCGCGGCGACGAACTGCTGCGTGCCCAGCAGAGGATGATCATGGAAGTCGGTGGCGCGGGCCCCAAGCTGGTCGAGCAGGCCCAGGCCTATCAGCAGCTCGCGCTCCGGGCCGTGGCTACCAGGGAAGGTTGGGATGCGGTGGAATCATCGGCACGGGCGTTGGTTCTGGAGCAATTGGAGGCATTGCCGGAAGCCGCGCAGGGCTCCATCGCCAATACTGAGAAGTATGTGGATGGCATGGTCGCCCGGCAGTTGATGGCTCTCCAAAGCCCGTGGTTCCGGTCTTTCGTGGAATACGACCCGAGGCCGCACATCCTCGCCCTCGACGTCCCGGTCCTGGCCCTCTTCGGTACCCACGACACCCAGGTGCCCGCCGACCAGAACTCAACAGCGATGTCCGAGGCCTTCGCGGATTCCAGCATTCCCAGCCACGCCCTCGCGACCATCTGGCCCGCCAACCACCTGTTCCAGGAGGCCGTAACCGGAAACATAGACGAATACGCCGTGCTCAATCCTGAATTCGTTCCCGACTTCCTCGAATTCCTCCTCGACTGGCTTGCCATGCAGACCGCGAGACCCTAACCTGTTCCGGCACAGCCTGATCTACGGAAATCGAGCCAATGAGCATTAATAAACGCCTCGTTGTCCTGGGGCGGGACATCTCCGCCGTAGAGCGCCTCACCCGCATCCTTGAGGGTGCCGGCTATCGTCACCAGCACCACCAACGACGGGGTCGCCATCGATATGGTGGGGTCGTCGACCTACGACGCCATGCTCATAACCAGGGACGTGGCTGAGGTCGACCGTCGCTATGTGGCGACCCAGTCGCGCTCTCGCGACGGCGGGCTACCTGTGCTGACGGTCAATAGTTCCCGCTCCGTCCTCACCCAGTTGACGCAGGCGCTGCCCTGAAGAGAGACGGTGGGTGGCGACGGCTGCCCACCCTCCAGATTTGGCAGCCGTTTACTGATAGGCGGGGCTGTAGCTGGGGCTGGCAACGCGGCCACCATCCACGATGATGTAGTCGCGGTCTATCGGCTCTCCTGCTATGAATGAGGTCAGGCATTCGCGTATGCCGTTGGCGTACCGGCGCTGTGCCTCCAGTGTGGTCCCGGAGACATGGGGCGTCATTGCGTGGTTCGGCATGTTGCGCCAAGGGTGGTCGGCGGGAGCGGGTTGCGGGTACCAGACGTCGCCTGCGTAGCCAGCGAGGTGTCCGGCCTCCATCACCTCCACCAGGGCGTCGGTGTCAACAATGCGTCCTCGGGCGGTGTTCACCAGGTAGGCGCCCTTTTTCATGCTGTAGAGCAGGTCGCGGTCGAACATCCCCTGCGTGGCCGGCGTGAGGGGAATGTTGATGCTGACTAAGTCGCTCTCAGCCACCAGCGCCCTTAGCCCTTGGAACCGGGCCCCGAGCACGGTCTCCTCGGTGTGCGGCAGGCGGCGATAGTCGAAGTAGCGCAACTGAACGTCGAAGCCCTTCAGCCTCGTTGCCACTCTCTGGCCGATGCGGCCGAAGCCGACGATGCCCACCCGCTTGTCCTCAAGGTCGTGGGAAGGTGCCGCAACCTTGCCAATGTCCCAGCCACCGTCCAGAACTTCCCGGTAGGCGGGCATGTAGTTGCGGACCAGCGTCAGGATCTGCATCACCACATGCTCGGCTACGCTGACGACATTGCTGCCGGTGATCTCGGCCACCGTGATGCCCCGCTCGGCCGCGGCGGCGAGGTCGAAGTGATCGGATCCAACACCAGCGGTGAGCAGCAGCTTGAGATTCGGCGCGTTCTCGATGCGCTCACGGCTGATGTAGGCCGGCCAGAAGGGGGTCGCAATCAGCACATCCACTGTGGGAAGGTGACTGTCCAGCCCGGCCCCTGCGTCGCTTGTGGCCACCAGTTCGTGGCCCTGTCCCTCAAGCCAATCGCGCAGTCCAAGGGCGTTTTCGGCGCATCCCAGCAGTTCCGGAGTCTCTGCTGCGGCTGGCCCTCCCGGATACAACACTGCCACTGCTTTCATGCTGCCCCCTTTTCGATATCGATTTTCGCCAAGCATTCCGGCGATTCGTCACGAAACATTCACCCAACCCAGCAGGGTATTAAGTGGTTGACATAATATGATAGCAATTGGCACCAAGCGCAATGGAATTGCGGCCCTAATATCCGTAGAAATACAGAGGTGGCCGGGGACTAGTGAGGAAAGGCAGGGCGGAAGTGGGGACGGAATACCGACTAAAGGCCGAGCGGAATCAGTTTCCTTCCAAAGGAGTGGATACGCCGAAGATGTTCTCGGCTGCCTGACGTCCCTGGGAGGGGGCCTGGTCCTTCAGGGTAGACAGTAGGCGAATGCAGCAGCTTGTTGACGATGGCGCGGGTCATAGCATCCAGCGAGGCTCGCTCTTCGTCGGTGAGCTTGCCGTTGAGCCGCTTCAGAGTGCGATTCAGCTCTGCCCTGCGCAAGTCCTCCGCGCGGCGACGAAGGTCGATTACCGGGGGCAGCGATTCCAGTCCGCGCCGCCACTGCTCGAATTGCCACGCTTCCTCCGAGGCCAGGGCCTCGGCCGCCACCGCCTCCCGCTCCCGACGACCGGTGTTCGAAACCGACTCCAGGTCGTCAATATCGCAGAGGGAAACGTTGCGAAGCCGACCCGCCTCCGGGTCGATGTCGCGAGGAACCGCGATGTCAATTAGAAACAGGGGCCGCTCGGGGCGGGCTGCCATCGTTTCGCTGATCATGCTGGCCGGGAGAACGTAACCGGGCGAGCCTGTACACCCAATGACAATGTCCGAACCAGCCAACGCCTGGGGCAGTTGATCGAAAGCCATCGCTCGACCCGAGAGGCGGCCCGCCAGCTCCGCAGCGCGGGAGTACGTACGGTTGACCACCGTGACGTTCCGAGCGCCGGCGTAACTCAGCGCCTCGGCAGCGGTCTCTCCCGCCTCTCCGGCACCAACTACCAGCACGCAACTGCCGCTGATATCGCCGACCACCAGCCCGGCGAGGTCCACGCATGCCCGGCTCACCGACAGCGGATGGCGTCCAATGCCGCTGTCCCGGCGCACCCTGCGTCCAACGCGGGAGGACTGTTGAAACAACCGCGCCAGCAGGCCAGGCACGGCGCTCTGTTCGCTGGCCAGCCGGTACGCCTGGCGGACCTGCCCAATGATCTGGTCCTCGCCAAGAATCATCGAGTCCAGTCCAGAGGCAACACGGAATAGATGTTGTATGGCATCGAATCCGCGGTATTCGTACAGGTACTTGCCAAGGTGCTCTTGAGACACCCCGAAGTGCTTGACTAGAAGTTCCCTGAGGATACGGCCGTCATCCGGGCCGGTCTCGAGGAAGTAGAATTCCGACCGGTTGCAGGTGGACAGGGGAACGCCTGGGACGCCGTTGCTGGACATTGCTTGCAGGAGCTCGTGGGATTGGTCCCTGTTCCACGACAGCGATTCTCGCACCTCGACGGGTGCGGTGTGATGGTTCAGGCCAATGACCATGAACTCGGACTGAGAGAAGCCTTGTCGGAACACAGGTCCCAAACTACGAGAGATTTCGGCGCGGATAAGGCTGGATTTCAACCGCTTTATTGACCGGAAGAAGCAATTTAAGCAACCTGAAATCTAGAGAAATCTGCAAAATACTGCATTCGGGTGTGTGCTATGGCTCGGCTAGTCTATCCCGCCTTCAATTGCCTGTCAACGGGGCCGTTGCACCCGCAACTCCGCCCCTATTCGGGGCGACACAAAGGCCGGAGCAGCAGCCCCGGCCTTCGGTAAAAAGACAGCTCTCGAATGCTGTTCAGGTGGCGTCTACGGGTTCTTCATGTTCCGCGGATACTTTGGCCAGCACGTCGTCCAGCATTCTCTGTAGGGCCATTGTGTGGCTGCAAACGGACCGGGTGGCGAAGAAGTGGCACTGACAGTCCCATGCCCCGGCTGTGAAGGTCACGTCGTAACTGTTGTGGTTGCCCTGGAAGGTCGCGGAAAAGCTGTTGATACTGACACGGTCCTTTTCCTCGGCGTACTTCCTCGCCTTGTCTATCTTGCCGATGATGCTGGAATCCATCGCACCTCCAACCCCCCCGGACGACTGTCCGGTCCCGCCTGATTTTCTCTGACGATGCTGGGTCTAATGTGATTACGCACCAGCAGTGCCGCTGGATTGAACCTAGATTCTATGCCGCCGCCGAAGGGAATTCAAGCTGACCGGCCCGTGGCATACGACATGATCAGGGATAACGGTCAACCTGCAAGCCGCCTATGGGCCGGGCATACCCACCGTCTCCGGTGGGAACCGAGGGACAGAATTTACCCACGGATTCCCATATTTCCCCTGTTCCTCCCATTTTTGCGCTTTTCGCACTCTCGCCGGGTGCGTTTCCGTACCTGTGACGGGCGGGGCCTCCATCCGGGCAAGGAGTTTCTTATTATCCGGCCCCATTCTGTCCCATTGTGTCCCACTGGGTTTGTCCGGCCGGGCAACGGAGCCTTTGGGATGCCTTGAGGGGCGTATGGCAGGGATGATTCACAGGATTCAGGCAGAGGGGTGTCATGAGGCTGGCAAGGAGCAAGTGTCATCAAAGCGCAATTGCCGCAATTGCCATGGTTGCGGTGTGTGCTTTGTTCCCAACTGGGAACCGGAGTCGTTGACTGACCCTGCTGCCTAAAATAAAATCCACAACGATTCAGTTGTTCATCGAGAATCGTAATGCCCTATCGAATTGGGGAAAGGCTTCAGCGGTTTTCGTCGCCTCTGGTCGATCTTGTTTGCCCGATTGTTGCAGGAAATGCCCGGGTCCATACATCGGAGCGTTGAGAGTCTAGTCTAATGAACGGCGACCAGATCAGGAACTCCTTCATACAGTTTTTCGAGAGCAAGGGGCACCAGCACATGCCCTCGGCGTCGCTCATTCCCGCCGGAGACCCCACGCTGCTGTTCACCAGTGCCGGGATGGTGCCGTTCAAGCCGTTCTTCATGGGCGAACAGACTCCTCCCTCCAGGCGTCTCACCAGCAGCCAGAAGAGCTTCCGCACCACCGACATCGACGAGGTGGGCGACCATAAGCACCTCACCTTCTTCGAAATGCTGGGCAACTTCAGCATCGGAGATTACTTCAAAGAGGGTGCGGTAGCTTTCGCGTGGGAACTGGTGACCCAGCTCTTCGGACTCTCGCCTGACCGCCTCTACGTTACCATCCACCTGGACGATGACGAGGCTTTCGGTATCTGGCACGACCAGATCGGCGTGCCCGCAGACCGCATATATCGCTACGGCGACAAGGACAACTGGTGGGGGGCCGGCCGGCACTGAGGGACCCACCGGCCCGTGCTCGGAAATCCACTACGACGGTGGGATTGAGAAGGGTTGCCACAACGGGCGGATGGTGGCGGTTGACCTCCTGACCGCGCAGTTTCGCGATGAGCGCGACGGGGCCGCTCCCCGCGATGTCGACGGTTGCCATCCCAACTGCGACTGTGAGCGGTTCGTCGAGCTGTGGAACCTGGTGTTCATGCAGTATTACCAGGACCCTGAGCGCAACCGCACCCCCCTGCCTGCCCCCAGCGTCGACACCGGCATGGGCCTCGAGCGGGCGGCGGTGATTCTGCAGGGCAAGAACAACATCTACGAGACCGACCTGTTCACCTCCATTATCGACAGGACCTGCCGGCTCACTGGACGGGAGTACGGTGCGGACCCCGAGAGCGACTTCGCCCTGCGGGTAATCGCCGAGCACGCCCGGGCTGCCGCCTTCCTGATCGGGGACGGCGTGGTGCCGGGCAACGAGGGGCGGGGCTACGTGCTTCGTCGGGTCATCCGGCGCGCCATCCGATATGGACGGCGGCTGGGGCTGACCGGGCTGTTCCTCGGTGAGGTGGTTGAGGAGGTCATACCCAGGTTTCAGGCTGTGTACGGGGAGCTTTCCCAGAACCGTGACTTCATCCTTCGAGTGATCAACTTGGAGGAGGAACGGTTCGCCGAGGCCTTCGGCCGGGGCAACGACATCCTGCTGGATATGATCGGCGCAGCGGGTTCCGCCGGCAACGGAACTTCCCATGCAGGGACCATATCCGGGAGAGATACCTTCGTCCTCTACGACACCTACGGCTTCCCCCCGGAACTGACAGCCGAGATCGCCCGAGAGCACAACTTCGACGTTGACCTGGACGCCTTCGAAGAGGAGATGGAGCGGCAGCGCGAGCAGTCCCGCGCCGGCCAGCAGTTCGAAGGCAGCATGGAGATGCTGACCGCCTACGAAAACCTGGGAGCGGGCCGGACCGAGTTCACCGGACACGGACTGATCGACCAGGAATCGGTGGTGGCCGCCCTGCTGGTCGATGGTGCATCCTCCGGCCATGCGACGCAGGGGCAGCAGGCCGAGGTGGTGATCAGCCGCACCCCCTTTTACGCCGAAGGCGGCGGGCAACTGGGCGACCAGGGCTACATCCTTGGTCCCAACGGTCTGTTCCGTGTCGAGGACACCCAGTCGCCGGTGGCCGGATTGATTGTCCAGAAGGGCGTTGTTGAGGAGGGCCACATCGCAGTTGGCGACCCGATACAGGCCTCCGTGAACGCTGCCCGCAGGATGGACTCGTCCCGAAACCACAGCGGCACCCACATTCTGCACGCGGCCCTGCGGGCCACGCTGGGGCCGCACGTCCGGCAAGCGGGTCGCTGGTGGCGCCGGAAAGGTTGCGCTTCGATTTCAGTCACGTGGGACGAATGTCGCACGACGAACTGCTCGCGGTGCAGTCCTTGGCCAACGAGAAGGTCCGAGCCAACTTGCTCGTGTCGGCCCAGGAGACCTCGTATGCTGACGCTGTGCGACAGGGTGCGCTGGCCTTCTTCGGGGACCGTTACGGGGACGTGGTGCGGGTGGTCAAAATGGCCGAAGATTCCGCCGATCCGTTCAGCTTCGAGGTCTGCGGCGGGACCCATGTCTCAGCCACTGGTCAGGTGGGCACGCTGCTGGTGCTGGGCGAGTCAAGCATCGGTGGTGGGATGCGCCGCGTGGAGGCGCTGACCGGTCGCGCCGCCGAAACGCTGTTCGTAGAGCAGTCGGCGACGCTGGATGCCTTGTCGACCAGGCTGCAAACGCCCGTAGCCGACTTGGAGGCGCGGCTGGACAGCTACATGCAGGAGACCGACGACCTGAGGCGCCGGCTTGCCGCCCTGGAACGCTCGCTGCTCCGCTCGGAGGCGGAGGCGCTGCTGCGGCGAGTGGCTGATGTTGACGGCGTGCGGGTTGTATCCGGGCGCACCTCGGCCCACAACGCGGACGGTATGCGCGAGATGGGAGACTTCCTCCGGGACAAGCTGTCAAGCTGCGTGGTTACGCTGGGGGCGCTGTCCGAAGGTAGCCCGATCCTCGTGACGATGGTCACCCCGGACTTGGTGGAACGGGGCCTGAATGCCGGAAACATCGCGCGCGACGCCGCCAAGCTGATGGGCGGTGGTGGAGGCGGACGCCCCGAAATGGCCCAGGCAGGCGGACGCCAGCCCGAGAAGCTGGACGACGCGTTGGCTGCCGTGCCTGGTCTAGTCCGGGCTGCCCTGTCGTAGTCGCCTGGGCGCTGAATTTGGTCAGGGAATGAAACTTCTGGCCCTTGATGTCGGCGAACGTCGTATCGGCCTGGCATCCGGTGTTGCCGAGATTGGCACCGCGCTGCCTGCGGGAGTAATCCATCGGACCAGGCTGACCGCTGACGTTCAAGCTGTGATCGAAGCGGCCAGTCAACGCCAGTCCGACGCCATCGTAGTGGGCGTCCCGTATCGGCCCAACGGGGAGGAGAGCCCGCAGACCGAATATGTGCGCGGTTTTGTTCGTGCCCTTCGCAGGCAGGCGACACTGCCCGTTCACGAGGTCGACGAGGTGTTTAGCAGCATGGAGGCAGAGGGACTGCTGCGGGATGCGGGGCGGGAACCGTCCCGGGACAAGGGGGCGATCGACGCAACCGCCGCAGTGATCATACTGCGGCGATTCCTGGAGTCTGGAGGAGGCGCGAGCTAAAGGAGGACGCTTAGCTCACAGGTAAGTCCTCTGGAAATCCTCCGATTCAAGTGTCATGGAATCCATATCCCAGTCGAAGGTCAGGACCACGGATCGCTCGGACGTCGCTTCAAGCAAACGCCGGCCATTCTGTGCGACCACACTCTCGGCTTCGCGGTAGTCCAGTTCATCCTTCTCGATGCCCGTGCGATTGCAGACCATGATGGGCAGGCCGGTCTGCGCGGAGCGGGCTTCCCATTCGCCGTCGGGTCCGCAGCCACCGGGGCCCCATGACACCGGCGAGACCAGCACCTGCGCGCCCTTGCCGACCAGCACTTCTGCCACGTCGTTCTTGTAGGCATCGGCGCAGATGAGTACTCCGGCCTGAACGCCATCCAGCTCGTAAGGGCTGATCTTCCAGCCCGCGGTTGACCAGGCTTCCGCTCCGCCAAGGGTCTTTATCTTGCGGTGCCGTCCGACTATCTCCCCCTCGGCGCTGATAATGAAAACAGTGTTGTACATGCGTCCCGAAGCAGGGTCCAGTTCCGGGTGGGACAAGAAGACGGTGAGTCCATTGTCGCGGACCAAGCCGCAGAAATCAGACATCCACTGGTCGGGCTGTGGCTGAATCCAGCCGGTGCCGAGTTGTTTGAGGAAGAGGTATCCGGGGATGCACAGCTCGGGCGTAATCGCCCATTGAGCCCCGGCCTCGGCTGCTGCGGTTACTCCGCGCTCCACGAGTTTGCGGTTGTGGTCGATGTCGCCGGTTTCCGGCGCGATGTGCAAGAACGCAATCCGCACAAGTCCCTCCGCAGCGGGCCCAGATTTTCTCGATTATAGCACCACGCCCGCTGACCACACTCGGCCTCCCTCATCCACCCAGGGCAATCGCGTCTTAAACGCCGAAGGTCCTATAAGTCGTCATTCCCGCGCAAGCGGGAATCCAAACCCCCGTCTACCCTCGCACCCGGAACCTAAGGAGGCACTGCCACTCCCATATCCACCGCCATTCAGACCAATTTTGTGTGCTGACAAATAAGACGCGATCGCCCTGCTTACCCACCATTTCCGCGCACCATGTTCCCGGGGAATAAGGGGACAGGAATCCACTGCCCAAACGTCTCGGCTGAGCCCAGCCCTGAATTTGCTGACAGTTGCCCCTTTACAAGCCTCATGACACATCTCTAGCCTGAATATATCGAAATACAACCCGCCGCCGTGGGCCGGATCCCAACGCGGAGTCGGGCGCAACTCCCAAAGGGAAAAGGCAAAAACGAGCGGAAATGATCGGAAATGAGTGGAAAAACAAGAATTTTCCCGCCCAGTCAGGTCCGCCCAGTCAGGTCTGGAAGGTGAAACCATGTCTTTGAGCCGGATCAGGAATCATATCGAAGTCCTCGACCGCGAACTTGCCATGTATCGCGTCCGGCCCATCGCCGACCAGATCACCGACACTGGCCTCCGCCTGCAGACCATTAGAGACCTCCACATTTACCTCAAGGACTACCGGAAATACGGCGGTTTCCCCGGTGCTCAGGAAATGATCGAAAAGCTCTTCCCGCCAGGTCTGAAAGTTGTTTTGTCCGACATCCCCCTCGCCGCCCGTTAACCCGCCACCGCCCGAAAATGAATGGAAATGAGCGGAAATGACAGGAAAATCAGGATTTTTCTGGGTGATCGATTGATGTGGCGGCGGTGCTTGGTTTCCCGAGGGGGCGGGTTTGAAACCCGCCCCTACGCCAGGCACATGCGGGGAGCCTGCCCTCGACCGGAGCGGCGGAAGGGGCCAGAGTGAACCTCAATAGGGACAGCAAAAAAGAGGGACGGGTCGAATACCGGAACGGAGCGCTACGACCGATTTCGGCTGCTACTTGACGCCCCTTGCCACGGCAATCACAATGGATTTACGGTACTGCCGTTGCCCCGTGGTGTAGTGGTAGCACGTCAGCCTTTGGAGCTGAAACCCCTGGTTCGAGCCCAGGCGGGGCAGCCACCAGTTAAAGACCTCTATGGCAGCCTTATTTGCTGCAGGAGCCCCTGAATCTCGTCGGGTGACAGGGGTTGGTTTGTCGGACATCGGCATCTGCATTCGCACCGTGTCGGCCAGCGCGTCAGAGTGCAACTCCTCCAGCTTGATGCAGAGGGCGCCCATTGCCTCAGCCACGGGTTCCGCCAAGCCAAGCCGCAGGAAGTCGGTCTCTGTGTCGATTACCACTGCAGAGATGTGCTGCTCCTTGATGGCTGCGGCCATCGCCCGTGCCTCGGCCAGAGGCAGGTTGCCCCCCTCCGCCTGATCCGATGCTGATGACGGCCCCCCACTCCCCATAGCCACGTTGGCCCGGCCATCGGACAACACCACCAAAAGAGGCAGGACGCTACGGTCCTTTTGCTTCTCAGCCTCGATGACCTCCATGGCCAGCATCAAGCCCCGGCTAAGGGGTGTGCGGCCTCCCGTGGGCATCTCCTGCAGGAGTGTATGCGCCAGGTCGACGCTGGAGGTTGGCGGCAGAAGTACCTGGGCGGAGGTGCCTCGGAACGCGATCAGCCCGACCCGGTCGCGACGCTGGTAGGCGTCCAGGAGGAGGGAGAGGATGGCGCCCTTGACCGCCACCATGCGGCGCTGTGCCCCCATTGAGCCGCTGGCGTCCACAACGAACAGGATGAGGCTGCCTGTCTTGGTCTCGCGCACCTTCTCGCGCACGTCCCAAGGTTCGATGAGGAAGGCCGGAGCATTGTCCGTATCGGCCTGGCTGCCCAGCCCCGACCGTCTCTCGACCTGATGCGGCGCGGCGGTGCGCAGCGTGGCGTCGAGCGCGAGGTCGGAGGCCTTGTCCTGGGGCGTGGCGGCGCTCACGTACCGACCGGAAGGAGAGCCGCTGATTGTTCTCGCCCTGCGGCCTCCGGCGGGCCGGGCACGGTGGTCGGGGGGCTTTACCTGCAGGGAGCGGACGGAGAAGGGGTTTCCCACCTCGTAGTACTGGTCCTGGGGACCGGAATCGCCAGGAGGCGTTGGGGGCTGCTCTTCCGGTTCCGGTGAGTCGGGGTCTCCGTCGTCCTGCTCCTCCGACTGGTTCTGGTCTTGGTCCTGCGGCTCGCGGTTCTGCGGCCGGTTCTGGAAATCGTCGATCATCGAGTCAAGCTGCTCGGTGACCAGGTGTGGCTGCTGGAAGGGCTGTCGCCGCTGGCGGTGGAGCAGCGCCATCTCGGCGGCCTCTCGCACATCGTCGGCCAGGACATGGTTCCTGCCCTCATAGGCCGCGATGGTGCCGGCGGTCTTGTACATCACAATATCGGCGCGGAGGCCGTCTACTTGGTACTCAGCGCAAATGTCGGTGATCAGCTCGAGAATATCGTCCGAGACGTGTACCTTTCCCAGCAATTCCTGGCTGTGGAGGATTCGCTCCCGTTCCTCGGCCTCCGAGTCCTGCCACTTGTCCATGAAGCCGAAGGGGTCGTCTTCATAGGCTATGCGGCGCTTCACCACCTCGCGCCTTTCTTCGGGAGTGAAGGCGCTGTCCACCTCTACGGCGAGGCCGAAGCGGTCCAGCAACTGGGGGCGCAGGTCGCCCTCCTCGGGGTTCATGGTGCCTACCAGGATGAACTGGGCGGCGTGGCTGACGGAAATGCCTTCCCTCTCCACATAGTTCCGGCCCATGGCGGCGGCGTCAAGAAGCACGTCGACAAGGTGGTCATTCAGCAGATTGACCTCGTCGACGTAGAGGATGCCACGGTGCGTGGAGGCGATCAGGCCCGGCTCAAAGCTGCGGCTGCCTGTCTTGATGGCCTGTTCAATATCCAGTGAGCCTACCAGCCGGTCCTCGGTGGCGCCCACGGGAAGGTCAACGATGCGTACCTGACGTGTTACTGCCGGGGCGGTTTCCCCGGCAGGCAGGCAAAACTGGCACAGGCCCTGGCGGTTCTCAGGGAGGCAACTGTAGGGGCACCCGCGCAGGACGGAAACCTCAGGCAGTAACGCTGCCAGGGAGCGGACGGCAGTGGACTTGGCGGTGCCTTTCTTGCCGCGGATCAACACGCCGCCGATGCGGGTGTTGATGGCGTTGAGTATAAGCGCCCGCTTCATCGTCGTCTGCCCGACGATTGCGGTGAAAGGAAAACGTGGTTCGGATTGTTCTGGCAAAGTTGCTGCTCCGGTTATGGGATGGAGTGCTGAGGCAGTGGCCAGTTTAACACTTTGGAGCGCTCTGCTCCTTCAAGGCAGGACGTTCACAGTTGATTCGATTGGCGCATGGCCGTTCAGGTAGAAATTGAGAGAAGGCCGCCCGGTCAGCGGGTCTGTGCCAACCTTTGCTCCCACCCCAAAGACCTTCTCGATCAGGCTTGGAATCAGCACCTCGTCGGGCCTTCCTGACGCGACGATCTGCCCCTTGTCTATCACGTTGATGAAGTCACAATACGCGGCAGCAATGTTCAGGTCGTGGAGCGCGGCCAGTGTGGTTAGCCCCAGTCCCTTGACAAGTTCCATGGTTTCCAGCTGGTATCGAATATCAAGGTGGTTGGTGGGTTCATCCAGCACCATGAATTTGGCCTGCTGAGCCAGGGTCCGTGCGATCACAACTCTCTGCTTTTCGCCGCCGGACAGTGTGTTGAAGTTTCGATGGGCGAATCCGGCAAGTCCAACGCGGGCCAGCGCCTCCCTGATGATGCCCCTGTCTGCGGGCGTGTCGCGGTCAAACATACCCTTGTGCGGATTTCGTCCCATAGAGACGATCTCTCCGACGGTGAACTGAAAGTCCGACGGGTATTCCTGGAGAACCACGGCTATCCTGCGTGCCGTCTCCCGGATGTCCATCCGGCGAATGTCTTTGCCATCGAGGGTAATGCTGCCGGAGTCAGGGCGCAGGGCCCGATATATGCAGCGTAAGAGCGTTGACTTGCCACTGCCATTGGGCCCGATGAGCCCTGTGAAGGACCCGGGCTCCACGGTCAGCGAAACGTCGCGCAGAATCTGCTTCCCGTCTACGCTCCAGTTGACTCGGTCCACCTTCATCTGCATCAGATCTGCCCTCCGTAGGCCTGCCTGCGCCATCGCAACAACCACAGGAAGAAGGGCGCACCAACCAGCGCGGTGATTATGCTTACGGGAATCTCCTGGGGCTGAACCACAGTGCGCGCTGCCACGTCGACCCATATGAGGAAGATCGCCCCCGTCAGAGCGCTCGCCGGGAGGACAATTCGATGATCAGCACCGACCACCAGTCGGACTATGTGAGGCATCATCAGACCGACGAACCCAATGGCCCCGGAGACTGCCACCATCACGCCAGTGATAAGTGCGGTCAACAGCAACAGTTGACGGCGAAGGGCCTGTGTGTCCACGCCCAGTGTGATGGCCGTCTCTTCTCCCGCCAACAACGCGTTCATCGCTCGGTATTTCAAGATCAATATGGAGATGCCCACCACCAGGGCGGCCGCAGGCAGGCCGAGAAAACTCCATTCAGCACCCGACAGGGTGCCGAGCATCCAGAACAGCACCGACCTTATCGCGCGTTCGTCGCCAATGAACAGGATCAGGCTGGTTATGGCCGTAAGAACATAGGCCGTTGCCACCCCGGCCAGTATAAGTCGTGTGGGCGAGACGCGGCCTCCGGTCTGGGCGATTGCGAACACGATGACGAAGGAGCCCACCGCCCCTACGAAAGCCAGTAAGGAGAGCGAGTAGGGCGCAAGGAAATTGATTCCCAACATAATGACAATGACAGCGCCCACCGATGCGCCAGAGGATGTTCCCAGCAGGTAGGGATCGGCCAGTGGGTTGCGCACGGTAGCCTGCATGGTTACGCCTACGACGGCCAGCCCCGCGCCCACGATACCGGCTAGCAGGACTCTGGGAAGCCGAATAAGCCACACGATGTGGTCCTGTCCGGTCGTCCAGTCTCCCGGTGCCGTACCCAAGATGTGAGACGCGACAATCTTCCACACGGTGATTGGTGAAATGTAGACCGGTCCGATGGTTATGGCCAGCGTGACGGAGAGTAACGCGACCACGCCCAACACCCCGAGCATCAGGCCCAATCCCAGTCTCCGAGTGTCCGCTGAGGGGTCGGGAGCGTGTGCAGCCGACCGATCCGGATCTAATCGGCTTGCATTGTGGCCATTCGGCAATTCTGCCGGTTCATTGGCACGATCTTTCAGTGTCCGCAAATCCACAAACCCACAGTGCTACGGGCTTACGGCCTCGGCCAGTTTCTTAATGGCAGAGGCATTTCTTATGCCTGGTACCAGCGAGCTAAATTTCACAACCACGAATCGCTGCTCCTTGACCGCCGTGATTTCCGCCAGTGCCGGGTTGTTCAAAAGGAGGTCAATCTTTTCCTGTGATGTCGACCAATCGGCTTGGGTCAAGGCGATGATCTCGGGATCTCGATCGATTACCTCTTCCCAGCTGACTGTCGTCCAGCGGCCCGCGACATCGTCAAAAATGTTCTCCCCCCCTGCCGTTTCAATCATGTTGGTGAACATAGAGCAGCAGACTGCCGTGTACGGGGCGTCGTCACCGGAGTCAAAAAGGAAGACCCGTGCTGCCTCGTCTGAAGAGTCAATCTGGGAAGCTGCTTCCTCAACCTCATTCTGGAGTGACTCCACGAGGGCTTGGGCCCGTGCGGTTACGCCGAATATTATTCCGGTATTCCGTATGTCGGCGTACACATCATCGAGGGTGTCTGGAGAGCCCGAGTTGCAGTTTGACTTGGTCAGGTATGTCCCGATGCCCAGCTTGTTGAGATCCTCCTGAGAGCCGGCCGCTTCATCTTCAAAGGCGCTGCGAAATCCCCCGTATATGAAGTCGGGATTTTGGGCTAGGATCACCTCTTTCGATGGGTACTCATCCGCCAGCACCGGCACCGATTGGTAGGCTGCCTGGTACTGAGGGAGAATTTCATCGTCGATGTAGGCGGTGCCCACCATGTGGTCCTGAAGTTCCAGCGCAAGCATTATTTCGGTTACGTGCTGGTTCAAAGTGATGGCACGGGACGGCGGCTCGGAGTAGGTGAAGCTGGCAGCCCCCGTCTGGACGTCTCCCTGGTCGTCCTGTACAGCAGTACAACTCTCGACTGTTACCGGGGCATAAGGGGCCGCTCCCGCCGGTTGGGTAGTCTCTGGAAAGTCCGTAGGCGGTGCAGACGTGTTGTTTTGGGTTGGCGCCGGAGGTTCGACAGCAGGCGTTGGGTCGCCACTACAGGCGATGACAGCCAAAACTACGGCCATCGCGGCCAAGAACGGGGTAAGTTGTTTTGCGGACACTTTTTCGCTACTTCTCTGAGTTATTTGAGATACTGGTTCCGGGGGCTGGGAGAGCTTGGGGAACGGGAGAGGGCCTGAATACGTGGGTACTGACCGGCTCGCAGTGCTGGAAATGCTGATCTATGATTTGAGACAGGACTGTTTCGTTTAGCCCGCAGTACCATATGCCGTCCGGGTACACCACCATGACGGGGCCCAAGTTGCAGGGATACAAACAACCGGAACGGGCGGCAAGAACCTGGCGCGGTCCATCATCCAGCCTCGCGTCCTTCAGGCGTTTCCTGAAGAAAGCTCCCAGTTCCGCGGCGCCTGAGGCGGCACAACGTGGACCATGGCAGAACAGCACGTGGTAGTCGTGAGGGGGAATGACCGACCAGTCCGGCTCTGGAGTGCCCGGATTCTGGCCAACGGAGGCGATAGGAGTCCCGGATAGGGCTGCTTCGCGGACCAGTTCCAACGCTGCGCCCGCCGTGCTGGTCTGTTCAGCCAGCGATTTGGCGAAGACGATCTGCACCTGTGCGCCGGATTGATCCAGCCATCGCCGGGCAACATAGCGGAGCCAGTTCCGCGTAGCGACCTCCAATGGAATAAAGGCCGGGAGCACGATTACTTTATCCACCGCAGACCTGCTACAGGCCTCCAGAGCATCGGGAACCGACGGCCCACCTTGTTCCAGGAGAGCTTCCACCACCACCCACCCTGCGTTGGAGGATCGGAGATGTTTCGCAAGGGCCTCTAGCTCCGCTGCGGGCTGAAGGGTGTAAAGGCTTCCGCGGCCTACCACCACCACCCCAATTCTGGGGCTGGAACTCTCGCCGTTAGAACTGGACAGTTTCGACACCTGGTCCAGAAATCACCTCTTTTGCGCCTTGTGCGAATTTCCATTTGTCAAAGAAAGAGGACAGCGCGCTGCAACATTGACACTGGCCATCATTGGACAACAAAAAAGCCCGGCTTCTCGCCAGGCTACTAAGTCAAACGACTCATACCCTCTCCGCGAAGCGTATTCTAGTCAAAGCTGCAAGGCAGGTTTCCTG